TGGCTGGTCATCCAGAGCGATAAAATGAGTCAGAGCCTCTGTTATTTTAACTGCCCGTGGAAATTCTCTTGACATTTTTCATCGCTTTTCCAAAACCTGAGTGAAAGTTGGCTGTTCCGGTCCATACTGCTGACATTTTGTTTAGCCTTAAGTACTTGTACCAGTATCGGTATCGGTGCATCCCTAGTTCTAACACCTGGTAACAATGCAGGATGCAGGAAGTTGAAGGAAGCAGGAAGTAGGAAGGTTTTGGGGAAGTTTACACATTTCCCGATGTCCTACTTTTCCCCAGTTTTGAAGGATGGGTCGGGTATATCGTTCGTGGCCCAACATATCCCCGGATTCACTGAGTGTCATACAGGAGAATTTTTCTCATAACAATCGCAGATGAAGCGGGAGTTAATGCGGGAGAGGAATACACTTTTAAACTTAAGTATATAAAAAACTGGTGGTACAAAGCGCACATTTTTAGGCAGCTTTGGGCATTTGCGTATGGTTATTTTTAAATTTAAAATAATCTTTGTAAAAATTGCCTGAATGTGGGCAGACCTTGTCAGGTCTGAGGAGATGTGGACACCAAGATACTTGAAGGACTGCACCCTCTCCACTGGAGCTCCATTGATGATAATGGGCTTGTAGTCTCTGTGCTGACTCCTTCTGAAGTCCACCACCAGCTCCTTGGTCTTGCCAACGTTCAGCTGGAGGTGGTTGTCCTGGCACCATGATGCCAGATTCTTCACTTCATCCATGTAGGCCGCCTCATCATTGTTGGAGATGGCACCCAACACCACTGTGTCGTCAGCAAACTTCACAATGGTGTTGGAGCCATGGGTGATCACACAGTCTGAAGTGTAGAGGGAGTAGAGCAGTGGCGAGAGGACACATCCCTGAGGTGCTCCTGTGTTGATGGTGATGCTGTTAGAGACGCATCTACCCACCCTCACCACCTGAGTTCTGCCAGTGAGGAAGTCCAACACCCATGCACACAGACGGCTGTTGAGTCCCAGATCCCTGAGCTTTGTGAACAGTCTGCAGGGCACTATTGTGTTAAACGCTGAACTGTAATCAACAAACAGCATTCTCACATAGTTACCCTGTTTCCCAGTTTTATTAGCCCTCATGCTGTACAGAACCTGTAATGTCCAGATGGTGTTCCTCTTGTGTTCTGCTGTGAAAACATTTGGATTTAGGGATTAAATAGTTGCCATGGTTTTTGCTCTTCTCTTCTCTTTTGTGTGTTATCAGGACAATTCTGGAAGAGATGGGCCTGCAGGGAGAAAGAGGACAATAGACAGGGATCATGAGCTGCTTGATCTCATTAGAGAGGACATGAGGCAGCAAAGAGAGGCTGAGGAGAGGAGAGAGCAGGGGAAGGATGGACAAATTGTTTTCTCTTACTGAAAGTTTAGTTCCAAAATGGGTTATGCATTAAGAAATGTATTTATTTGAATACATTTTTTACATTGCTATATGTGCTGTTTCAATTTAATTTTATGAATAAATTGATTGCAAAAAAACAGTAATTGTCACTGAACTCATTTTATTTACACGTATTTGTAACATGTATGAGCCAGCCTGCGTATGTAGGTGTCATACGGGATTTTATAATCGAATGGTTGCATTATTTGTGTTTTAATGTTGAGTGTATTTTAGTTGCATGCTTTTATTGTATGTCTCTCTGGGACCTCTCCCAGAGAGACTCCCCCCCCCTGCTTCCCCAATTAGATACACCTGGAGGGCAAAGGGAATAGGAATCAATCGGGCCTCCTTTGTTTGCAGCAGCCAATAAGAGGTTCTGGTAGGTCAGAGAAAGACTGTGGCCGGACGTAGGGCAGCAGGAGAGTCATGGAGTAGCATGGCGGCAGACGCCGCCACAAGAAGTGGCTGTCCAGGAGGTCACTGCTAAAGGTAGTGCAAACCACAGAGTCAGTGGATGGCAGACTCTGTATTCTATTTTTTTCTATTTCATTCGATTGTATATAGTATTTTATTTTATTGTATTCTATTCTATTGTGTACAGTATCTTGTTGATATCTTATTCCAGTGTTTTTCTCAAATTTTTATTTTTCTCTCCCCTCATCAGGGCATTTTTAGTGTACTATTTTTATTGACTATTTCAACTGGGTATTACGTCTTCTGTTTCCGTGATCACCCCCTCCTGCTCTCCCCGTTATAGAAGGGGTTCCCTTCTAACTTACACTGGTGACATAGGCATAGTATACATTTTCACTGCTATGCAGATGACACCCACCTTTATCTATCCATGAAGCCAGATAACACACACCAATTAGTTAAACTGCAGAATTGTCTTAAAGACATAAATACCTGGATGGCCTCTAACTGTCTGCTTCTCAATTCAGTGAAAACTGAGGTTATTGCACTCTGCCCTGAAAACCTTAAAAACATGGTATCTAACCAGATTCTTACTCTGGATTAGTGATGGGAATTCCAGCTCTTTTTAGAGAATCGGCTCTTTCTGCTCGGCTCACTAAACAGAGCCGGCTCTTTCGGCTCAAAAGTGGCTCTTCAGGTTGTTTTGTTGCTTTAATTAATTTATCATTAACAGCAATATAAAATTATGCACAAAATGAATTACTAATGCTGAAGCACCCCCAAAGATTTCAGTAGCATACAGTACTTTGTTGAGATGTAATATTTTAACAACAAAAGTATAGATACCCCCCCTCCCAAAATGGTTTGTTCCAGCTCGCCTCTCCCCTGCTCTGGCTGTAGCGCTCTTGCTGCCAGAGCGATGGTGGCTGAGACTCTTAGCTCCGATAATCTTTCGTGACTGTTCTTTATCTCCAGGACATTAGCAAAGTCAGGCGATGTTGTGCCGGGGGAGTCTGCCTGGCGACATCTTTTCGATGATGGCATTGGCCATGGAGGCTGTGTTCTGGGCTTTCTTCATCACTATATCCTCTTGTTTAGATTCTCTCCAAGATGTAATGTTAATATAACTGAAGCTTAAAAAAACATTTGTTAAATTCTAAGCTACCATTTGCTTTCTTTCTGCCAAGAGTCCGGCATCTGACATCACCTACAGCATTCTCTAGTGTCATTTACCTTTTCCGGCTGTCAATAGAAAATTGTACTTAGTAGTCAGTATAATCTTTTAATAATATAAGTTTGCATATGGTAGAATACTGCATGTTGACCTTTTGATGTCTTAGCCTGTTGTTCACTACACGACTTTGTGTGCATTCCAGAGTGCTCTGGCATTCACACCCACATCCTGGGAGCATGGGAGAGGTCGTACCTTCTCTTATTGTTTTGTGGTAGGATAAACGTATCTATGTCAGTTTAGTCTAAGTGCCTTTTGTTTAGATGAACTGCTGGACTTCCAGACCAGCAGGTTTAGGGAAGTCTTTATGGGGTCACACTCTGACTGCCCTTGCTGCAAGTAAGTAAGAGAAGGGAGCTAACAAGCTAACTTCTACGTGTGTCAGCCTGGATTGCTGCCATGTATTACATATGAGCTTTTCTCAGCTGGTTGTAACATAATAACTTGGTAATACTACAATGGGGCGCTGCAAAATTGAGCTTTGCAAAAAACGCTAGCTTTAGAAACTTGGTGACATTTTTAAACTGACTTTCTGCAGCAAATAACAATTTTTGTTTAACATTTTTAACTATTTCACATGATTAATTCACTGTTAATTCACCAAGTTGGAGTATTGCCAGGGAATGTCGTTTTTGAAAGACTTGTAGGAGTAGTGTTTGGTTGACTAGTAGGTGTTGGTTCAAGTGTAGGAGTTTGTGGACTAATAGGAGGTGTTGTTACAGATGATCTGATTAATAACTTGAAATACTCAAAATAAATCAAGCTAAACTATCAGAAATAAAATTTATATCAATTCAGTAAATCGCCTGAAACAAATGAGGACAAATTAGTAAAGACTCCAATCAGTGTTTGCAATAGTGACACTTCAAAGATCAGTCATACTTGCACAGCACTCTGCAAATAAATAAATACCACGAGTCCATTTTGGATGTTATGTTATACCTTATTAACAGCTTAAAAATATTTTGATGGATTTTGTTTCCAGATAAATATCAGTGTGATAGTGTTATTAGGTCAGCTCTTCATACTATTATTAGTTTTACAACAGTTCAAGATTTGTAATTGTTCCATTCCTCGAAAAGCAAGGTTACAAAACCAGTAATTATATTAACAATAATTCCCACTTTACTAGGACAATGATTTACTGGGTGATGGGTACTATGTTTATTTATGTTGAATACAGTAGTACTCCAAATATAAACGCAAAAGATTGTAAAATCAATAAAACCACAGTAAAATAAAAATAAAAAAACAGTTCCAAAGCACAGATTAAAAGTACTGATAAATGAAAAGAATGACAGAATCAAATAAATTCAGATATATAACCTTGCACTTAACATTCTATTTTTTACTGTACTTATTTAATTTGATTACATTGGTTGGAACAAAACTTAAAGAAACTTGAAAAGTTATTTGTGCAGAGTCAGATGACATTCATGTTGTAACAGTAGAGGGCGCTACCGTTGCATCAATCCAGAGTCAGGTACATCTTCAATCTAGAAGGAAATTTGAAACAGCGCGTTCATAGAAAACATTTTTTTTTTACATTTGAGATAATCCTCAGATTGATATGTTATTTAGTGATTGTATGATGTGACTCATTTCTGGAATATTTCATAGAATAAGTTGTGCTTTGTGTGGCGTTAGCATTTTTACAATTGTTTAATATACAATTATTTGTATGCTCCTACAGAGGTTGCCATAGCCATTGTGTGTGTGCTCATAGTTTTCTGTAGCTCAATCACTGGACATCAACACTACTACTTTTAGCAATACCAGTTGTACTATTAGTACTTAGTGGTAAAGAGCAGTTATTGATGCTATGGTAGAAAATCTGATTATAGAAGAAGAGACTTACCTCTGAATTTATCCATATTCATCTGGAACAAGAGACAAAAACTCAACATCAGAATGATGATCAAAGGGGTTGATTTTGTTTCATTTTAAAAGTTAACAATAGCAATAATAATTTTATGGGCCTAACACATTTAAAAAATACACAAAATGTCACATTTCGGCAAAAAAAGATCTTAATAAGCAGACACATACTTACATGGAAGGGACGGCAAGAATAAGAGTTGAAAGGAAAGATCCCATGACCAGGACAACTAAAACAAGTAGAAAATGATTAAAGAACTTCTGACAAACCAAATAGACTTTTCATTTAAAAACACATAAAGATTTAGTCGATATGATTGGCTGACAAATGGTGACACAAATTTTAAGAGCTATATTTATGTCACCTATGGATTTATGGCAATTAAATATAAAATAAGGTCTGAGCATCATTTCTGCCTCCAAGAAAGGAGATAAATATGAAGAGAAATTCATTGTCGTTAGTTGTTCATTTTTAGCTTTTCATTTCTAATTAATGAATTTTGCAACAATGTCAAAAATTATTTACAAATACACAGGTTTAGCAACTTTATTTATTTGTTAACATTTACTTCCTGTCATTGATACTTACAAGCTGAAGCACTGGCTGGGGCACCATTTCCAACAGTCACGCTGACACATCGAAGGTCTGAGTGATACTTAGTTTCCCTACGGAAATAAATCAGAACAATGATTACATTATTTCCATGAGATTATATTATATTTTAAGATAGTCTTTTCTGTTAATGACACAAAGTATATGTACAAGTAATATGGGTGTGTTTGATTAACAGTTCTAGATGACAAACCAATAACTTTTTGGTTGGTCATTGGAAGCAGAGGAAGGGGTTTTGGTTTTTTGGGGAATTTAATTTTCTTGCCATGACTCCTTCTGGGCCTGGGGTCTAAATAAAAAGTCAGATTTAAACATTCATCAATACAGTTTATGGCTGCAAAATTGTAAATGGACTGATTCTTCTTTAGTGCTTTTCTGCTTTATGCAGCACGCCTCATTCACCCATTCAAAAAGCTCTTTTGTCTATGCTTAAGTGCTTTCTGGCTAACACTCATGCTCTAAGGGATGAATTTGTAAAAAGGTACTGACTTGGAAAGTGCCTGGACAACAAAGCAGAAGGGGAGGGTGTCATTGTCTTGTGATTTAGACGGCGTCCATGTCAGGGTGAACTTTCCTGGTCCAGTTTTATTCTGAATTGCATCATATGGTCCGCTGAACAGCAGCTCAGAGATCCTTCAACAAAGAAAAAAACAAAAAATGAATCAACTTAATTCTTATAGCTTCTTCAACTACATACAAAGCAAAGTGTTTGTCTGTGAATGAGCATCACTTTGACTCACTTCTGTTTGGTTTTAAGGGTTTGAGTTAATAAGCCAAATTTTACTTAAACATAATTTCACGAGTTTTTATTTACTCATGTTGCATTAAAGCAAAATAGCCTTAAAACAGATTTGACTTCTCTTTGGATTAAATATGTGTTGAACCTACTCTTTATAGCTCATACAGCCTTGTATATATCTGACTGTGTTACGCTCTTACGCGTCTTGTTAAACCTGTTTTGTGTGCCAGTGCAGGACTGATGCACAGATTAAACAGAACACAACGGATAAAATCTTGATTTAATCAATGAACAGAAACATGACAGGAATCGACTGACGTGTGAATGTATTTCTTGTCTAACCTGAAAACAGTTCTGTGGGACATAGTTAACCTTACTTTACAATGTCAAGAATGTCAAATGTGTTTTTCTTTGACTTACGTGGAGTTTTGTGCCTCTGCACTGATGCTGATTTCCAGAGTCTTATCAACAGGCGTGTAGAGCCGAGCTCTGTTGTTTGGGGTTGGAGGCAAGAATTTGGGCAAAAAGTCTCCCTCTGTGCAGGATGAGACAGGAGGATCCACTGAAAGATGACAGAAAACCAACAAGTTTTTTTTCGGGGTGGAATTCATAGTTCGAAGTTAGAACAGTATTTCTAAGTTTAGATCAGATCTTTACAGGTTCAACTCCATCTATTAAAATATGGACTTGTACCTATCAGAACAAACTGGATCGGTACTTTGCTGAGAGCATCGTTAGGTGTTTGTGTTGTTTTTGTGCCATTGACTCCAGTCATGGTGATGTTCTTCATGGGAAAGTCCTCCATCAGCAGCTGTACTCCATAGGAGCCCACATTACTGTCGGAAGTGGGGGCGAACGACAGGGTACAAGTGGACTGCATGAGGAATAAAAAAGGAAAAGAGATCAAATGAGCAAATTTTTATTATTACAACTATCCTTCTGTCTCATTAAACACTAGATTAACAGTCATGCTCACTGATGAGAGGCTGAGGACAGATGGTGGATCACAGCCGTTACACTCAAAGAGTGAGGAGTTTCCATATCTGCATTTAACCTGATCCCCATCAGGGTCAAACATCAGCAGGCTGAAATCTCTCCGACAGTTTGAAGGAACTCTGAGAAAGAATTACAAATACAATCTTAAATTTTCATTTTCCAGGATTCACTTTAGTGTGAAGTTAATGTGCAGCTCCATGCATTCACTCTTAAAATTTGCAAAATACAGCCACAGTCTGATCACTGGAACTGAAATTTTTTTGGTTAAAAACCACACAAGGTAATTTTAAACACAGCAATATTCAGTTCACTGTCTTAAAATAAAACTTTAAATTGTATAGTTTATATATTAAGCGAGATTTAATTTAAAGCATCACTAAACTACTTAAATATTACAGCAAACATGGAGGAACTGTCACGGACCTAGCTCTGGAGGATGGGGGGTCCGTGAGCAGTTTTGACGGTTGTTATTATTATTATGATTATGATTATTAGTGTTATTATTATCGTTATTATTTGGTGATGTGTGTGTCTTTCTGCACAATGCTGTGTTAGTCTGTGTTCCACTCGTTATATGTATAGGCAGGGTGTGGGTGTGTA